GCTGGGGCAGCAAAAAAAAAAAAGTTGCTTTTGACCAAATCATTGGCAGACGCCATGGACCAAAACAATGCAGGAAAGCGCCGCAAAAGGATGCGCCAGGATGCGCCAAGGATTATTCCGTTGCCTCGCACAATGATATGCTACACTCGATTGTGCTTTGGCTTTACTGGGTTGAGAGCCATGAAGTAGGCATAGACACAAATTGAGTTCTGATCGGCTTTAAGCGCTAAGAAATTCAAGAAATTTTCTTATTTTAATTACGAATATTCTGAAGTTAAAAGTAAGCAAAGGAAATGGAATGAGAGAAGAGAGATTCTTTGTTAAAGAGAAGGCGTTAAAGACTTTGACTTAGCTCGTATTATCCGGTTTTGGGTCGCTCAAGTTGGCTGCTTTTAACATTGGACAACAAATTGAGTTTGAATTATTTTGATTTCTATATGTATTTTGTCCTATTTTTTATTTTTTATTCTGTATTATATGTTCTATACTCTATATGCTATCTTTTGTCTTTTATGTATCTTATGTTTTAGCACTTTATATATTAAACAATAGATTTGGTTTGTATTCTTTCTGTTTCTCTTTGATCTTCTATATTATATTTTGAAAAAAAATCTAGTCTTCAGTCACATTACCATTTTTATGGTCGCCTGTGTGCAGAAATATTATACAACTTAAAAGTGAATCAAGGATTGCTATATATTATACGGCTATACAACTGGGACTCCAAAACCATTGTGAAATCTATTTTCTAAACTATTTTCTTACCTTTTTATTATTTACTGGAGCAGGAGCTCGTCTAGATAGATGAGATGAGAATGATTCTTACATGGATCAAGTAAGTAACACTCTCGGTTGATCTAAAAGCTCCTTTTAATCAGATATATAGATTTTGAAACATCTGCATATGATGATATGATGATATGATGATATGATGATATGATGGTATGATGGTATGATATGATGATTGAAAAGCTTAGAGACAGTTTAACACAATGGTATTACAAATACCTTATAGATAATTTAACAACATGGTCTCTCATCTTTTTTAGCCAATTCATAGCTCAAAAAGTGTCTTTAACGCTGTTTCCAGCATCTCTGTTCTTAGCTTGAAACTTTTCTGAAATACTCTAGATATCTCTTCACTAGATATCTCTTCAAAGTCCTTCCCTCTCTCTATCTCCTTCTTTTTCGATCTTCGTACATCTTGCCATTTCGAATTCTTCAAATGTCCATTTGAAGCCACTCAAAATCTTGAAGTTTCGGCCATTGCCTTTTGTCTTTTTGCTCAACAGACATCAAATACCCTGGCAGGCTCTTGAGAGAGTTTGCTCTATTTTCAGTTTTTTGTTGCCGATTGGTTTGTTGCTCAGTTCGATTTGTAGGTGAGCTTTTTGCCTATACCGAAATGCCAGCTCCAGGGATATTCCACTTGATGTCCACTTCTTTTACTCTGTTTTGACTTTGGCCTGTTTTGCTTTCGCTTCTTCTTTCCAGTGGCAATGTCCATTTCCTGTCGCCATTTCTTTGACTTGCCTCGACTGCTTTGGCTGCTGCCAATATAAACTCTTTCGCTTTGCTAGCGGATGTCCTTTAACGTGGTTTCCACACCGTTGCCCACTACACTGTTATTTTTTTTTTTTTTGCATTTTTTTCACGCTTTTCCCTCCAATAATTTGCACTTTGAAATTTCCTACTCGCCACGGCGGAACGGAAGCCAATACTCGCTAGTTTTTCTTCTTTTTTTTCAATTTTTAGCTTTTACAATTTTTTTTTTTTTTGTTTTTGTTTTTTTTTTTTTTGCTGTCATCTTTGAGTTGGCGAATGCGGAAAGGGCTTTCATTTCCGGCGCAACAGAAATCGACTTGAATAAATGCAAAAAAACGATTGAAGGGAGTACTGCTAAAGGAGTTGGAAATATCTAATGAATACATCTATTTTATGCTGGACAAAGTTTTGCAAAACATTCTTAACTATTTTAAAAGTCAACTAAAATCTAAAGTATACGGCTGGTGTGTGATATCATAGAGATTGTCTCCTAGGTTTAGGGAATCCAATTTAATAACAAATTCCAATGTTTTAGTTTTATAACTATTATTATTATGCGAAATACGATTCCTAATAATTATGATTGTTTTAGAACAAAAAATACGTTCAAAATAAATGTATTTTTATTTTTTTTTTTAAGTATTTTGATATTCAGGGTTTTTTTTTATTATTAGTATAGGTTCGTTTATAAAAACAATTGAAGAATCATCTTTTCAATACAGTTTCTACAATGTTTATGTAATTTAACTAAATATTTATTTAAATTTTAACAAGCGTTTTTACCCACAAATAAAATATTCAAAAAATTGGGAAGGCCTTACTAGGTAAGTTTCAAATACTTTTGCCAAATATGAATCAGTCTATAAAAGTTATAAATATTTATAAATAAATGTAGCACATTGAAGTGCAATATAACCCATTTAATCTAGAATTTTTCATATATTTCTAAATTATTTTATTTCTGCTACAAGTTAAAATACTTTTTAATTTTTATTAATTTCTATTGTTAGATTATTTTCAGTTGAGCTTTGAATACTAACATATATATGCATGTGTGCACTACATTCTCAAGTCTTAAGATATAATACAAATATTGAATATATTCTATTTTTGTATACATATTAGCAATTTGTCATTTTGTTACTCGCATTGAAATTGATATATACATTTATATAATCTATAGACGCATTAAACAATTTGCTAAGAACTATTAAATAAATATATATGTACATGTATATATAAATATATGTATGTATATTCAAGCAAATGATTTTGATTCGCTTTTGTAGCTCGGCGGGCTTTCGTGTTAGCCGAAGCTGCCTGCAGAGAGGCCGAAGAGGCGCTTATAAATATTTACGATGCTACGCTTTTTTCTACACACACACACGTGTGTATATAAATATATCTATATATATG